AATCGTCGGACGGGACGAATTGCGCGCCTTCAAATACAGTCCACAGGCATTGCATATCGTGGCGCCTTGGGGTGAGCGTCTCCAGAGCGGTGTTCTCGTGGTGCCACAATTGCTGTCCTCCATTAGCTGCCGTGCGTATCGGTTTAGAAATCAAGACCTCACCTGCACACCTGGCCACTCGGGTTGGAAGTAGGGCTAGACTTGAAACTTGTCGAGTTCTCCGGATGGATGGCACCGAACGGCGAGGGACTTTTGGAATGAGCTCGGTCGGATCCGTGTATCGACGGACTAGGTGCATCTGACGACTCGGCGATACTGTGAGCCGCTGGGCTCCTCGAACCAACGGAGGAGGCAGTTTTATGGATAGCCATCATAGAATCGGACAACTGAGTGCTCTCTCTTTCGATTCCGGGATGTGAGGGGAGAGCGGTCCTGATGGAGCCGGGTTCTTCTCTAAGAAGTTTGGTGTGCGAAGGCTGGGCCACCTCCATGATAGCCGTCATGATCCGGCCCTCTTCCCAAAGGCCGGACACAGTAGTGGCAATAGGCCACGAGGCTAGCGGATATACTATGCCTCTGTGGTTAGGCTACAGGAGAGGGACATGGGGGCTCGTATTTCTGGGTGATATGAGCAGAGGTTCTAGAACAATTCGCAGACGTGTGAGGACGGCTGGTGGCCAAGAGGGACAATGGCAGTAGTCAAGGCAAGGACTTTTGCTAGTATATTGGTAGTATATAACCGAGGCGGTGGCCGTCTTGCTTATTAGGTGTCACGGGAGTTCTTGAGCTCTTGCTAAGGACCAATCGTGGCTCGGGGGAAGGATGACGGAAAGGGGGGGGGACTGTGAGGTACACTAGAGGAAGGGGAGAGAGGGTGGTTGCGGGATCAAGATCTGATTAGGAATACGACTGGGATGAAAATCCGGGGTTTCGAGAGGTATCTCGAATGACGAGGGTCGGACGGTGGGTGGAGTGATGTGGTACGGTCTGCTATGTCTGGGCCTAGACTGGGGGCGTGTGTATGATGCGTTGTTTGGTTTGAATGTGTGACCGTGACCCATGTGGTCGAGCCCAACTACGCCACTTTTTTTGTCCCTTTTCTTTTTTTCTGTCTTCGGTGGTGAGGCCAAGGCGATGCTCACCGAGAAGATCTGGTGGTAAGGAGAAGCGAGAGGGGGGGTTTTGGGTTGATGGCGGATACGTAGGTAGATAGAAAAGGGGAAGGAGGAAGGGGGAAAAAAAGAAAAGAAAAAAAGAAAAGAGTGTAAAAGGAAAGACGACAAGCAGGCGGACAATGGTGAAATGTGTTTGTGAGGCGTTCTACCTCAGGTCGGGACTCGGGCATACGATGCGAAGGCCCAGAATGCGGTAGAAGCAGTGCCAGTGCTGGATTGGAGGTGAACCAGGCACCAAGTTCCCACTTCCCAGGCTTCCCCTAGTGTAAGGGCCACCTCTAGTTTAACGCACACCCCCCTAGCCCGGCGTCGGCGTCCCGGCTGAATCAATCTGATTATTATTTGCTGCCTGGTGATTGGCCGTGTTAGCTAATACGCAACAAGGTTTCCTCCTTAGCCAGCCTGCTCATATGCAACAGTACATATAGCAGGTACGTGACTTATCTGCCATCACATCATTGATCTGTAATCTCCGCTTTCCAATTGGCCTTCGCCGCCTAGTGATCCGTCATATGCAGCTTGACAGAGCGGTCTGCAAGGGAGAAGGGGGTACATGAATGCCTACCTAAGGTACATGTACGTGATGATTAAAAAAGAAAAGAAAAGGGGATCACCAGCTTCTCAGCTCCGTCGTCACTTGACTACTACCTTATACCCAATTGATTTGATCTGTTGATTGGTCCATGCCGATTCGGATCGCACCATTCGACCAACTTTAGCAGAGCCGCCGATAAAGGGGGGTCAAGAAAGGGGGGGGGTGGAAGGAGATTACACTAACCCCCGAATATATATAGCAGTGAGTAATACCTAGGCACCTGTATTTTTCCCATATTTTATTTTGTCTCTTGTCACCTCCTCGTCCCGTGGACATTTCGTCCCTAAGCTGCTGTGCGACCCTTCAGCGTCAGCCTCCCGTCCATCCCTGACCAATGTTGCCATCGTGATCTCCATGATCTTTGTCATACACACCCGTCTTCGGGGTTTGCCCTCCCCTCCCTTATCCTTAAAGCATAGGTATATATATCCCTTTGGGGACTAGTCTGGAAGGAAAGGAGAAGACAGGAGGTACCTACCTAGGTACCCAAGAAGCAGGGGACTTGACACTGTCTTCCCCAGCCGCCAAGCTTTTTTATCTAAGCCCCATCCTCCTGCAGCTTAGCCTGCAGCTGCCAGCCCACAGATAAGATGCGACTCATCAAATCAATCAATTTAGCATGTCATCAACCAGCGGCCCCATCTGCTTACGAGCATAATAAGCGAGATACGTCTAATACCTATAAATTACACAAATTGCTATAACTCTTCTAAGCATACACCCGCATGATCTGTTCAAGTCATCATATAACTAAATAATCGTAAGAGGAAGTGAGAAAGGGTAAAAGGAGAGAAGAAGAAGAACAAAAATCGAAACTCTAAAAATCCACTAAGGTTAAGCATGACAATTGCGGTTGTCCTGATTGGCCGACGCTCGTGCTAGACACGAACCCCTGGATCCCGCCAAGAAGCGAGATACGACGCTAAATTGGCAGTTTAACTACCCTCAGTGTCGCATGAAAAAAGATAACCCTAAAGATGAAATAATTTTTTTAAACTACCTGCTATGTACCTAATCTAGAACACGGACCTGACTAAGTGCCGCTCTTTGGTCAGAGTTTAAGCTGAGCTGTGTGTAGTCAATTCGTATTAACCCTGCATAATGCTTTCTCCCAATGTGCGTTTATTACGGATGGTCGCGGCACTGGTCCGATTGCAACCCGACCAACTACAATATTCAAATCGAATAGCTTTTATCGTGGGCGCCATAGGTTTAGATGTCAGGCAGGAAATCATTTTCTTCGAGCTCGGGATTAAGGCTCTGTAGAGTTTCAACCATACTACGTACTGTCTACCAACCTCGATCACATCTAACAAACCACCAATTCAACACCAAAGACCTCTTTGTAATTTCTCCTAAATTGTCTCCTAGGAGCGTGGAGATCATTGGGGCCTAGTTAGTCGATACTGTATTCCGTGAACTCAATAGTCTGTTTAAATCCCTGCTTAAGGGACTCGGGGTTGCTTAAAACAGCCGTAGTTTCTTCGTAATCGTCAAGAGACCTCCGGGTATGAACAGCTGCATAGCCAGGCTTGTCACTACTGGCGTCTTCCAGAGAACTAGTCATCCTTTGAACCTCGACACGTGACCCAGTAGCACACCCCGGTTAGCGACGAGATTTTTTGCCTTTGTCGGCACAACATGAACGGAGGTGTAGATCAAGCAATCTCATTGTCGTTCCCTGTTCAGAGGGGGGGGAGATGACGGAAGAGCTCGCACATTCTGCAAGTGTTTCTGGGCTCTCAAAGCAGTAACTAGGACGAAATCTATTTGGCAACCATCGCGTGTGTGATTTGAACCCCCAGCCGTCCTAACGTATGATCTGTTAGCTCAGGAGTTAGGGGTTCGACTGTAAGTCTCTTGGGAGTCGTAACATAGGCATCTTGATCAGACATTTCTGGTTGTGCTACTTTACGAATCTACAGGCTCAGAGGTGAGCAGTTCGAATACAGGCTTCACAGAGTCATGATCTGACCGTCGCTATGTTTTTCTTGGTCATTGAGGAGATATGCCGCTTCTTGAGTAGTGACCCCCATGATGGACAGAATATCAAAAAAAAAATTTGGTTCTGCAATCAATTCGTACTACATGATATGCGTTACAACTGTGAACAAGAGTTTTGGATGACCAGAGAAGCGAGAAGAGGAGAGAAACTTTGATGGATTCTCCAGGGGGGGGTAACAGAGCCTTTCTCTGCTTTCATCGCTCCAAATCCTACCCCCTTTACTATCCCCCTAAACATGACATTATCTTGTGATGGTGGCAGATATTTTTGTTTCGATTCACTTCGCTACCTTAGGGAATATATAAAATACGAAGGGGGTCAATATGACTATCTCTCATCGCTGCCGTTTTCACTTACCTCCCTTTATATCAGACTGCAGGAAGTCACAAAGCCTCCTTACCACAACCCCTTCAAGGTCATCCCAGAAGCCGTAGATTCTCCAATAATATCAGCTCAGCCATTAAGCATAGTCATGTTAACATAACTCTGAAATGAAGTTTGGTAGTCTGGAACTTCTCGAACACTCATGTCTAGATTCAGGCTAAGAAATAATACTGTGTACCTATCTATGTAATTGCCCAGGGCGGCCACAGCTCCTTTGCCTCTAACCCTACGTGACAGCCATCAACAATGTAATCTATTGATTGACGATTTGCGCAATCGTCCCTATGGCTGTTTATTCATATAAGAGCATTCCCACCATGGAGAATGCTAGCCAAGCGTGAAATAGGACAAAAATCCCACGGCTACGTAGACCTAATTCGTAGTGCTCCGTGGGTTCCACGGCGAAGAAGAACCGGGAGAGTAAGGCTCAGCGTAGACTGGAGAGCTGCAATAGAAACTCCCTTCTCAAACGGCCAGATCCGTGGCCGAAGTGGCCGATTTCGGCCACAGCCTTGCGCAGAGGGTATCTATCAAAGCCGCCCGGCCATGCCCTCTCTGTATCCCAGAAGATTCAAGAAAGGAAGATAAATTCTCCCATACCTGAGTCAGACAAGCGACCTCTCGGCGACAGCAAACTATTGCAGCCGAACCCTCTGAACCAACTGAGTGAGCTACTGAGAAATGCGGGAAGGTAGTTGTAAATTAGGACATTAGAAACCTAGCCGGCCGGCACTGATAATTAATGCCTGTGAAGAAAAAAAGAAAAAAGAAAAACCCAAAGAAAACCCCCCCATCTCGCTGCAATTTGAAAGGGAAAAAAAGAAAAAAGTAAAGATTAACTTCTCCCAGACCTGAGTCGAACAAGTGACCTTTCGGTGACAATTTAACCATTACAGCCGAACGCTCTAAACCAACTGAGCTACTGGGAGATGTTGGATTGGCTCATTATTTTTAATAGTAAGGGTAGAAAATTTGTGTGCGGGCCCCACTTACCTAACCTACCTGGTAGGCCTGTTAGTGGTCCTGCGGCCTTAACCCGACGAAGTCTTTATGCGACAATGTTATCTAACAAGTCAAACACTTCGTCTTTTATGTCCGAAACTGCTACACTTCCATGAGTATAATATATATAACACGTATTTACATGGCAATTGCTTCCGATACGGCTAAGAAATTATCTCTTTAATCATAAGATAAAATCGGGGCAAAGTAAATATACCTATGTATACCGTACTGTTCACTTTTCGTAGGCGGCTTTTAAACTATTTGTACATACCTAACCTACCTAGGCATGTATATAGTTCCATCTCCCTGCATAAATCGTGCATAAAATCACCTTCTGCTGATAATAGAGTAAGCTGATTGATCTACTTGATCTACCTAATAAGGCCTCAGTGAGTTGAGGGCGGCGTGGGGCACTAAGCGTGCTTGATTCGTCCGTAGTTTTGAGCAATGGATGGGGAAAGAAACACCCCCTCCCCCCCACGAAACCCCATCGTAGAAGGTAGCATCGAGAGAAACAAAAAAAAGTTTCCGAGACTAGGTGGTCTACGTAGGTAGGGTGGGTAGGTCAGGTACCTTACCTTAGTAGGTATCATGCGGCTCTACGTAAGTGGGACCCCCTATTCAGTCGTCTCACTTCATTTCATCATATGTAGAAGAATAATGTACTTGGCTATTACGCGAAAATCACCGATAAATTCCATAGGGGTGCTCAATGGTACGAATGAAGCATTTAATCTATGTATGTCCCTCTAGGACATGAGACAAAAGGAGAATGGATACAATCTATGTTCAGGGTATCAATATTCCCTATTGTGTAAATGAAGCAACCAGAAAAGGGGGAGAAAAGAAATAAACCATACGCCGTCCAAGTATTCGTAGCATCTTCCCTCACGCCTCATCCACCTTGAACGTCTCGTCTTCAATCATACACCAACCATGATACACTCTTCTCTTCATACAACTCATACACCATCACCCTAAGCCTCGGTCACCAACTGCTCTCCCTCGTCTAACAACTCGGTAACCTTCCTTAGGTTCTGGATCAGGCTTCGGCCGAGGCCTACCAACAATAGCTTCTCCGCGTTGGCCGGCAGACCTAGGTACGTCGGTGGCTCACGCTCTGGCAGCTTGTGGATCCAGCCCATGAACTCTTGTAGCGATGTGCCCGACGGAACGATCAAGCTCGACTCCTGCCCATCCTTCTCTGAACTTTCAACTAGCTTGTGTCCAATGTCGTAGGCTGATGGCGTTAGGAACTGGTTGACTAGCTCGGTGAGCTGGTTGTAATCTCCTTCATCGTCGATCTTGCCGCCGTACGTCTCGCGTACAAGATAGCGGACCATGTCCCACGGGATATTCTGCGGTGCAATGTTTGTTCGGTTTTGTGCCACAGATTCAATCCAGGTATCAATAATAAAGGCCGAACATTCATACTGCATGTCTGTTAGTATCTTCCTACGAATGCATGACAAATTTTAAACACTTACGTCACTGTCATTAAACTCCCAGAAGCCCTTCCACCCTAGATTGGGCGCGTATCGCAGTCGCTCCTGAACTACAGCGTGTAGGAACGAGAGAAGCAGGTACAGCCTAGTGCGTTCAACCGGACTCTTGGTAGTGCGTGTTGAGATCGAAGACATCGAATCCTTCATGTTGGCTCTAACACCGGCTGGTTGCTCATACATGAGCACACGAGATGCGCGAAGGAGGTTGACGGGAATCTTCGGGCTCGACTCCATCGATAGGAACAGTCTGAAGTCTGAGTGAGGGTTGAGCGACTCCATGCGCTTCTCGAGCGATTGCAACCACGTAGGTGCAAGGTGGACGTTCTTGATCAGGACCCAATTTCCGACCTGCGCCGCATTGCTAATAGCCTTGTCCGCGCTGGCGATGCTTTCGTTCGATCCCATGGCGATGTTGGTACATCTGACGCGCATCCTCTCTACCAGATTGTCTACCTTGTAGCTGGCGTCGAAACCAGGGCTTGAAACGAGCGAGATAGGACGAATAGAAGAGACCTGCTCAACAGTCTCTTTGAGATCTTCCACAATGTCGAACAAGTCGGTACCAAATACCGAGGTAACAAAGCGCTCGGCGGCGGGTACGAAACGGTCGAGACGGAAGAGCTTCACGAGGATAAGTGAAAGTAGTCCCTGGTCGAATGGTTCGGTGTCAGATCCCCAAATTTGAGGCACGAAGTTCTCTGCAAGCTCTTCTGATAAGAATTTATCCCAGGCGTCAGATGGTACTTGGTCCAGTTTGTCTTTCAAGGCGCCAAGTCTCCTGGCTCGAGTGAAGGCGTCATCTTTAGCGTCGCTGTCGGTCGAAAGATCCTTGCCCTCGATCCGATCATCAAGGATAATGTCAATCAAACCTTTATCCATCTTGTAAGGAGATGCTTGAGCAAGCAGCATGGCTAGTGTGATCCGATCTTTCTGGAGAAGCCCTAGTGCGGTTCTCTTGAAAGTGGTCACGAACAAGTCCTTGATAATGATATCTCTCCGGATATTGTGATTTGTCTCGTTCGCAAGGTTCTTGTTGCCATGCAACACGGAGTGAAAGATGTCTAGGAAATACTGCAACGAGAACTGGTAAAAGTGGTTGAGATAATGTAGTTGCTCAAGCACAGCAAACACAGCACTGCAAGATCGCGCAATGATACTATACTGAAGCGTGATCTCATCAACCTCGGCCATTACACCTTCAGTATTGCTCATCTTGGCCGTAATCTCGGCAGCCTCTGTCTTAAGCGTCTCGAGAGTCTCGATGACGTTGTCATCATCAAGAATGTTGCCGCGTGACTCGTTGAGAGCTTGTAAGAGACGCTTCTCAAGCTGCCGAAGATGCACTTTGAATTCACCTTGCAGTTTGATGAGATTTGACCGCCTTTCATCAACGTCCGGTCTCTCAGATTTTAGAACATCGTTAAGGGACTGAGTCTGAAGACTGCTCTGAGTGACAGTAAAGTTGACAAAAGTGGTCCGACTACAGATGTCGGGAGCGAACGTAGCCGAGGGATCACGGGTAGAAAGATAGATCTTAAAGGCAGGCGAGAAGTCGATTTGTTGCTTGCCAAGTTGGATGAGAACACGACCACCAGTCTTCTGGTATTCCTTGTTTAAGACGTGGTTTAGGATGGGATCTAGATGCTCGGCATCCTGGATGAGAATTGGATTGCCGAATCGAAGAGAGCTCTCTAATTGTTTAGTGAAGGAGTCATCCAGGAAACTGGTCACGGTGAGACGACGATCCTTGCATTCACGTAGGAGGAATTCCGTAACTCTGCCAGATGGATCGATAATGAGCGGATAACGGTTGAATCGCTGAAGAATGATAGCATTCTCGGTACAAAGGTCATCAACCGGGAGTGTATTTTCTTGCCAAGAGAGCCGCTCATCAGCAGTAGACAAGTACTCGGTCATAGGATTGTGCGGCTTGAAGTTGACACCTGAGAGGTGAAGTTGGTGAAGCCAATCCTCCATCATCGTCTTTCGGAATGTCTGGTCATAGAGACCGCTGTAGGCCAAGAAAGCTGCTGCGACCAGAACGTCTCCAACCAGAGTACTGATTTGTGTTTCGAAAGACTTGCTCCCATCCTCCCACCGAGTCCGTTCAGATGACAGGCTGTCGAGAAGGCGAACACTTCGGTCAACCTTGAATTGGACACGAGACATTTCCGCCTTGATAGCTTGCGTCTCACTGATGAGAGCTGCGTATTCTGTCTTATAAGTTGCGATGCTTTCTTCTAAACTGGTGATCGTATTTTCAACAGCCTTCGCCTCGGCCTTAGTCTGAAGAGCTTGCTCCTCGAGTTGGTCGACCTCTTCTCTCAAGGGGCCCACACGATCAAGAATCTCAGAATAGTTGACTTGGGCCTCCACCCACTGAACGAGGGGACCACAAGCTTTACTGGCACGGTTGACCTTTTCGTAAGTGAACTCCGAATTGTTCAGGAAACTTGATCGCATCTTGGTTCTCAAGGCCTTGGTCATTTGCTTCTCGTTGTCAAAGTTTACGATGCTTGCGATGAAGTCATCTCGGCGCACAACAGCCTGAACGCTCTTCCAATCTGCGATTTTGTGGCCAAGCAGAGTGCAAACGGACTCCATCGAAAGGCGGACACCTTGAGGTGGATTACCCATGGATCGGACTTCTGTCAAATGCTGACGTTTGATGTTGCTGACACTAGCCTTTGCCTCTTCGACAGCAGGTTCTGCTTGGGCGAGATCGTGTAAAACGACCTCTTTTCGAGATGCCACCTCTGCTTCTTGCTTTTCGAGAGCTGCCTGAATTTCTAGGGAAGTATTCTTGCGTTGCTCAGCTTCGCGCTGATCAGCAACCATGCGCTGTAGCTTTTCGTTGGCTTCGGCGTCTTTCGCCTCGAGTTGTGTCTTCTTTTCAGCTAAGCTGGCTCTAAGGTCCCGGACTTTCTCGACCGTGTCCCTGAGCTTGTCGAGACCGACGTTGAGGTGGCGCTGCTGCTCCTCGAGGTCCTCGCGTTTCTCGTTGTAAAGTTTGACGTATTGCGCAACAAAGTCGAGGAAGTGCCGCGGGGTGAGGAATGTCACTTTACCTTGTTGCTTCTGAAGCTTAGCGTTGAAGCGCTGCAGAGAGTAGTGGATATACACCATAGAGTTGATAATAGTCTCTCTGTGAGAAGGAGGGAGATTCAGGGCGCGATAAGCAACGGGAATACTGTCGGGTGCTATGAAATTTGGCTTATCTAGGTCGATGGAGTGAGTCAACTCATTGGCTACTTGGAAGAGTGCTTGGTCAGACCAGTCACCGAACCAATTGAGGACACATCGGTTGAACAAGGCTGGACTGGTAGCAGCTTTAGATGATAGCCCATCTTCGGGCGGGTTCATAGTGAAGACGACGTGCAAGTTCTTGACGATCTGTTGCGTGAACCACTTATAGAGCT